ATGTACTGTACAGACCCAAATATACAACTGTAATATATATATTTTTAAAAATCTCCACCCACGTCTCTCACCACAACTCACTCTATTTTCCCTCCCTGAAATTCTTCTTCTTCTTCTTTGGGTTTTATGGTGGTTGGCAAACAAACCTTTGGTGCATTTCCACCACCTACTGTGATGGAGTGTGGAGCATCGATGTTGAGGAAAAGAAAGGGGGGTAAACCCCCCTCCCTCTCAAAAAAAAAAAACATACAACCAAAAAATCCCCACTTATATACTAAATTCTTTTAGTCAGAACTATGGAGTGGATGCAGCAATGAGAGACAGAGCCTTAGAAACTACTGAAGTATTCCCTAGCAAGTTCTGTAGTGTTAAGCCACTTAAACCTAAGGACTTAACTAGTTTTGCAAAGCGGGGCTCTTTCACTATTATATCCGATTTGTACACTGTAAAAGCACATGCTCCACCATCTCCGGAAGTCTGTAGCCAGTAGCCAGATAGCCAGTATCATGTTTACCAATGATTTTTAGTGTCTGATTTAGTGTAGTGTGCCCTATTCGGAGACGTGAAATAACAGTATCATCCCTCCTATTGCCACAAACCGCTCTCTCATGCCCTACTACCCTTTGGATACTATATAGATGTCTTCCCTTACCCTCCTTATCCCAAATTTCTTACCCTTTACTGCTCCTTTAATTAACCCTTTAATTTCTGATTTGCTTAATGGTATACCTATATCTATTTCTGGATGCTTTAAAGCTTTCTTGGCCATATCATCTGCTTCTTCGTTACCTTCTACCCCTACATGAGCTGGTACCCATAGAAAATTATTATTATTCCTTGTTGACGTAACCTGTATAGTGTCTGAAGAATTTCTAATAGTATGTCTTGATATAGGTTTCCCATTCATTAAACTTATAAAACTAGAAAAAGAATCTGAACAGATCACCACATTTAATGGCTGAATCTCTTCTCTCAGTTGTTGATGATGGGCTGTATATGAAACTTCCATAATCAATTGTAGATCTGATTTGTGCACTGTGTACTCTCCTTAGTGATTGATGGCTTGCACCCCAGTCTGTCCCTGCCAAACACTGTAAAATATTTATTCCCTTCTTGCATTTGTCATTGCATTTTCTGCATGTGTGTGCCAAATGTCAATTTCAAGTCCATCCATACTCCCAAAAACCTTATCACTGATACCTGCACTAATAACTGATCATAGATTTTTAACTTAACTTTAGGACTTTTTTTCTTTCTTGAGAAGCATATTAAGTGAGATTTAGTTGCTGATAACTACTTTCCAACTTCATCTATCGCCTCCTGCATTCTTTCCTCCATATTTTTAACATTTCTTCCTCTCTTCCATAAAGCTTCCTATCTCAGGCCTACCTTTTGAAAAAACATCACTTATAATTATATTAAAAAAGAATGGGACTTGAATCACTCCCCTAAGGTGTTCCGTTATCAATTGAATACATATTTGAGTATGATGCTCACACCCTCACTTGTATTGTCCTTTCCATTAAAAAACTCATAATCCAGTTATATAATCTCCCCTTTGTTCCCATTTTAGCCAGTTTAATTAGTAACTCTTCCTTCCACATCACATCGGTAGGCTTTCTCTACATCAAAGAACACCCCCACTACTACTGCTTTGTTCACTTGCGCTTTTCTAATATCCGTCTCAAGACAGAGAACCAAATCCATTGTACTTCGACCCTTCCTAAAACCGTTTTGATGTGAATTTAAAAGCCCCTTACTTTCCAGAACATAAATCAGTCGAGACATTACCATCCTTTCCATTAATTTACAGAAATTAGATGTTAAATCTATGGGTCTGTAGTTCATACGATTTGAATGATCTTTCCCAGGCTTTGCTATAGGAATGACAACTCCATGTTTCCAGGAGGATGGAAGTTTCCCTTTGTTCCATACCTTATTAAAAAGGGCCAGATATTTTACCATCTCATAACAAACTTCACCCTTCCCTGGAGAAGTATGTCTCACATCCACAAGCACCTGTTTAAGTTCATACATTGAAAAGTGTACATCGGTAGTACCTCCAGTAGTGCCTTTTTGGTCTAAGCTTTCTGAGTTCTCTCTTATACTCTGTTCTCTACATCTCCTCATTTCATCTGATATCATTTCATTGCTATGAACGTTAATGAAAGATTCTGCTAGCAGTTCTGGTTTTTTGCTATCAGTGATAATTTGTTTATCTTCACTTATTAGGACAGGGATATTGTTGCACTTCTGAATCCCTCCCATCTTCCTAATCATTCCACATATTTCAGTGATATCTGTTTTCACACCTATACTGTGACAGAATTCTCTTCAGTGCCTTCTTTCGGCTGTTCTAACCACTTTCCAAACATTTGCCTGAGCTCTCTTGTACATGATGAAATCGCCAAATGACAGAGTCTTCCTTACTTTCCTTAATAATCTGTTTCTGACCCTGATTACTTACTACAATCATCTGCCCACAGTGGTACAACCTTCTTCTCTCTGGTCCCTTTGCTTTTACCAGTCACTTCTTCTGCTGTATTATACATATTTCCACTAATTTTGCTATTAAGCTCTTCTACTTCTTCTACTGACTCACTTATACCCTTAAATCTTTCTACACTTCTCTCTTTGAACTTATCCCAATCTGCAGATTTAAATTTCCACCTTGGTATTCTTTCCATACCCACTATTACTAACTCTACCCCAATTTTACACATTGTGGGGAAATGATCACTTCCCAAAGAAAGGTGATCCAAAACCTTCCACATACTTTCCTTAGCCAAACTTTGTGACATTGTCAAATCACTTGCTGAGTATTGCCCTTTAGCTGCATCCGTTCTTGTAAAGCCCCCATCATTAATGCATATTAATTTTCTTCAATCAAGAATTTCCTTCACTACTTTTCCTTTATTGTCAGCATTTAAGATACCCCATAATATGCTATGTGCATTAAAATCTCCACACCACACCACCCTATAATTTCTTCACCCCCAATCTTTCCTAATAACTCATAACTTAATCTCTTACATGGATTATAGAAATTACTCTTATACTCTGCTTCACAACCCATATCTCCACCACCACTGCAAGCTTTTCTATCCCTATTTACTGCTGTATATCCTTGCCCCACATAATTCAAGTGAGGCTTAAGCCATGACTCCTGAACACATATTTGTGGTTTATCATCCAAATCATCTATAAATATCTTGATTTCCAATACATTTGCAATTAAACTTCTTGCGTTCCACTGAATTATTATGAATACCATTATGAACCACCCCCTGTCGCCTGTCAATTTGAAGTCTGTACCTTTAGTATTTCATTTATTTGACCCACTGTTATTCCAAACATGCCCCTGCTGCATGCTGCTGAACTACTTTGTTGGTTATTATTATCATTATCGTAATTATTATTCAACGTTTCTTAGCTCAGCGATCAAAGGTAAGTCACTTTATATATATTTAAAACCGGACAGTTTTATACCTAACCCTGTAGATGATAAAATAATAATATTAGATCAACAATTACAATGTTTTACTCCCCTTGAAGAGACTGAACTAATTTCACTAATTTCATCATGCCCTCATGTCTGTGTTAGCTTCTGGCTCTCCCTTTTAGTTATGCTGTCATAGCTAGTCTTGCCGGAGTCCCTGCTTGCACTCTGCATGTAAAGTATATTGTGCTTAGCCATTAGAGGACAAAGCTTACCTAACATTCTCTCTCCATCTCTCTCTCTCCCTCACTCTCTGTCGAGCTACACATGCTACTTCTGAGATGCCAGTGATCCTGACCCCTTCTGCTCCTCCTCGCTGCTTGACCCATCCTGATGCCCTACTTCTGGTTGGAGTTCTCATCAGTTGGGTTCGCTCGCTGCTGCTGGGGGTGGCCCCACATGGACGGTCTGAAGAACCGTTTGGATTGCTGGGGATGGTGCCACCTGGGGGCTGTGGAGATGGCTTGGGGATCACATATGGGGAGCTGTACTGTAATGGCTTGGAACTGCAATTGCTGTAGTGGCTTTGGGGCTGCAGTTGCCACGAGCACCTTCATACTCAGGACTCCATCAGTGGACAGTAGATAGATTTTAAACAACCGGGCTTCTTGCGGAAACTGTGATGAATTTATTGGTTGCACAATTGCACTATTTGTCCTTATAGTATACAATAATAGAAGGGATTTATTTATAATCGCACTATCCGTTGCACGCAGATGAGGATGGGTTCCCTTTTGAGCCTGGTTCCTCTCAAGGTTTCTTCCTCATATCATCTCAGGGAGTTTTTCCTTGCCACCGTCGCCACTGGCTTGCTCATTATGGATAAATTCACAGGGATAAATTCACAGTGATAAATTCAAATATTTACAATATATTTTTTGGGAATCCATTTATTTCTGTAAAGCAACATCCATTGTTAAAAGCGCTATACAAATAAAATTTAATTTCCAGCTGAAGAAAGAGCTCACGAAAGATTGGCCGTGATTGGCCTAGGCTTAAGACCCCGTGGTCAACCATCACATCTGTAGTGTTTGTGGAAGGAGCGCTTCTTAGACCGCTCGGCCACACTACCCGCAGGTGAGGTTTACGCTAGGCCTGCCAGGTAGTGAAAGAGCGCTGCTCTTGCAGGCGGCCATAATGTCTCCACTATGCACGATTCCTTTACCAAACGCGCTTAAGCGAGGTCTTTCCTAGAAAAACGGGATCCGAACCCAGTGGAGAAGAAGCAGGTTAAGATACAGGTTCTTTGCAAGTGTCGTCTGGACTGCGGACTGTTTTGACAGACCTCCAGCGACTTGAGAGCCTTACCGCAGCTGTGGCCAACCAGCATGGACAGTTGCAAAACACGCAGCCACAGGGCTAGCTTTTCACGTTTCTCAATCCACTCTAGTAGTGTCTCAAGGACCTGTACGAGCCATTCCACTTGGAGGCCCTGGAGGTGTGAAAGAGACTGCAAGAAAGCCAGATGATCTTGTAAAGAGGATTCTAAATGACACGCATGCGACGAGGGTGGGATCCGAACCCACGTTTAACAGTCCATCGCCTTAACCTCTTGTCGACCTAGGTCACCCGTATAACCTTACATCCCCGTTACCTCCCAGAACACACTGGATTTGCAGTGCATAGCCTTAACCTCTCGGCCACCTCCAGCATTCAACACTGACTATGCAGGGAAGTTTATTTTTTCTTTTCCTGAGCAAACTGGATGGCTGCTTCTCTTGTTCATTGTATGTAGGTCTTGAGGCATGCAGTGTCCTGTCATAGAAATTGAAGGGAGCAGATGCGGAGAGATGGCCCAAAGAAGAACGGAGAACGGGACAGAGAACGGAACACAGTTCACAGAGAACGGGACAATTCCTCGGCCATGCTACCCCGAGGGCTTGTCAGGGCTTACCTGTTCGTGGTAAGAAGGTGTCTGAGTCATTCCGCCGGGCAACAAGGAAGCCTGGCATGGGCACGACAAAAGGGGCTGTTGAGAGACTAACGTGCCTTCAGCTCAACCAGCTCTACAGGAGACACCTAACCATTTCCAGCTGAAGAAAGAGCTCACGAAAGATTGGCCTAGGCTTAAGACCCTGTGGTCAACCGTCACATCTGTAGTGTTTGTGGAAGGAGCGCTTCTGCTTTTGACCTAAAAGGAAAAGCCTCCTGGCAGCAGTGGAATTCAAACCCACACCCCCAAAAGAGACAGGAGCCTTAAGCTGGCACCTCAGACCACACTACCCACAGGTGTGGTTCATGCTAGGTGTTATGACAATTTATCCATAGTCCTAGTCGTCCCTTTTGTTTGCCACGTTGGCGTTGACTGGGGATTTTTGACGCTTGTGTCTAGTTCCGAATAAATTGATCCAAGAGGGGTTTGCCAAAAAAAGGAAGTGTTTTTATTAAAGTAAAAATTGTATATTACAGCTACTTGTTGAAATAAACAGAAAATAGCTTAAAGCAGAGACAAGGTAGAACAGCCAAACAAGCCCAAACCACAAGCAAGGTCCCAAGGTCAAAAAGCTGTGCGCTCCCAGTCAGCCACACCTCCACCAGGTCACCTTCCTATTTATTGGTGTTCTCACCTGTAGAGGGCGCATACTTTCAAGGAGGAAAATAAAAGGCAGATTATTAGAGGAAGAATTAAACAAAAATAAAGAAATGGCTCCTACATAACCGGCCCCTAATTGTATTTGGTTAACAAAACAATTATTACATTACAAAATAGGAGCCTCAAATTCATCATTTGCCGTGTAATTAAAAAATGTTACTAATAAACATATTTTGGGTAAACATTATACATAGCTTTGTCATTATGTTCTTTGTCCTATGGCTCATCTTCATCACCATTCAACATCAGACACAGTTTTGTTATTGGTCTCTCAATTATGCTGGTTTGCGTCTTAAATTTTACTGTTCGTACCAGTCCTTTTTTGTCAGGGTAGACTTCAATTATTCTTCCTAGAATCCAGGAACCTCTTGGTGAAGTTGGATCCACCACCAAAACGATGTCACCACACTGGAAGTTTCTTTTTTTAACATTCCACTTTTGGCGTTCTTGGAGCAGTGGCAAATATTCTAAAGTCCAGCGTCTCCAAAAGAGGTTGGCCAGATATTGTATCTGCCTCCAGCGGCGTTTGGGGTACAAGTCACTTTTGTTGAATACACCTGGAGGGAGAAGTGGCCTAGCTTTGAGGAGCAGAAGGTCATTTGGGGTTAGTGGTTGCAAATCTTGTGGGTCATTTGTGATTGTAGTTAGAGGACGACTGTTCAAAATAGCTTCCACCTCACAAAAAACTGTTTGTAACCCCTCCTCATCTAAAGTCTGCTGCTTGAGCACAGAATACAGCACCTGTCTTACAGACCTCATCAGCCTTTCCCATATGCCATTGGTCCCATTGTCAGAACGAAGATACTTCACTTGCCCCCTTCTACAAATGAAACGTCTCAAAGCATTGATGCATGAACTAGTGTCTAAGGAGCTGGCTACTTCAATGTGAATGGCTCTGCTTGTCATGCAGGTGAACAACACACCATAACTTTTCACCTTCCTCTCTTAATTTCGAAGGGACCAAAGTAGTCGACTTCAGTATTGGTAAATGGAGGCAAGTCAGGCTGAAGTCTCTCCTGAGGCAAGTCAGACATCTTCTGTTGTCCAACTCGGGCCCTGTATCGTCTGCACACAACACACTTAGACAGAATTTTCCTGGTTGATGAATGTGCATTAACAATCCAATATATTCTGCAAAGTTCAGACAGCATATGGCTTCTTCCACCGTGCCCTGTTGTTTTATGTACATGCCGCAAAATAAGAGTGGATATGTGCAAGTTTTTAGGGATTATGGCTGGAAACTTACTTTCTTCCCCTATGGTCATCTTATGTAGCCTCCCCCCTACTCTTATTATGCTGTCTGTCAGAGTTGGATCAAGTCTGTTCAGTGTGGTTTCCCTTTTTACTTCAGCTGTCTTTGTTGCAAGCATTTTAAATTCATCAGGGATAAACTGTGATTGGAACAATGGCAATACCAGCAAACAATAGCAAGTTCGGCTGCCTTTAAATCTTTCACATTCACTTGCTGACCACCTAGTTTGTGATCAGGTCTGTTTGTCATGCTCCTTTTAGTGACTTTATTCTGTTTTCTCATTTGGACCAATTTTTGCAAAGTTTCTTTCAGTTTTAAGAACCAAGAAACAGCAACTCTTAGTTTTGTCCTGTCAGAAAAGTATGTTATTAGTCTATGTGTTGCATTGTCTTCCTTAGTGCAGATTATTGTATTCACTGTGTTTGTTCTTTTTACCTCAGGGTCATCAGGTGCAAGCGAAGAGATTGGCTTGCTGTTGACTGGCCATTTCTGTTTATTCTCCCATAGGATTTCTGGTTCATGTAGCAATCTTTTGTTGTTTAGGCATTTCTCTGCCATTTGCCCCCTAATGGTGTCATCAGCAGGATTGGACTTGGAGTCAATGTAGTTCCACTGGGAGAGTTCACTTGCGTCTCTGATTGCTGCAACTCTGTTGGCAACAAATGTTTTGTATCTGGAGTGTTCATTTGATATGTATTTGATTACAGACTGGCTGTCCGTCCAGAACACAGAACGGTCAAGATGTAGCTGTAAGCTAGACATGAGCATTTTATTCACCTTTGTAGCCAGCGTAGCAGCTGCAAGTTCCATTCTTGGAATGGTCATTCTTTTAAGTGGAGCAGCACGTCCTTTTCCCATCACCAGGGTGACATGGATGTTGTTCTCGCCATTTACAAGTCTCAAATAGGAAGCTGTTCCATAACCTTGGTCACTGGTGTCTGCAAAATGATGTAACTGTGCATGCGTCACTGACCCAAATCCTGATGACTTAAAGCAGCGTTGTACTTTGAAGTTTGACATCTGCGGGAAGCCAGCTGACCATTTTGACCATTGCTCACGGATGCCAGGGGGTACCTCCTTGTCCCAGCCAAGGTTCATCTTAGTGTAAATGGTGTTAAGAAACCAAGGGGGTCATAAATTGAACAGACCATTGATAACATTCCTCTTCTTGTGAGTGGCTGAGGTTTTGGCTGCACTTTGAAAGTAAAGTTGTCACTTTCGATGCACCGTTGAAGACCTAAGGCTCTTTCAGTTGGAAGTTCATCTTTGTCAAGATTGAGCTCCATCATTTCTTTGACTCTGTCCTCCACTGGAATAGAAGCAAGCACCTCTCTGCTGTTTGTGGCCCATTTTGAAAGATGGAAGCCTCCTCTGTGGCAGAGTGAAGTGATGTCTGTAATGAGCTGCGTTGCCGCTTCTGCAGTAGATACAGATTTCAACAGATCATCGACATAGAAATTATGCAGAACAGTATTTATTACCTCAGGACTGAAATGTTCTCTGTTGTCCCCGGCTGTTCTCCTGAGTGCATAGCTTGCAGAGCTGGGGGATGATGTTGCCCCGAAGAGATGAACAGTCATTCTGTGCTCCACAGGCGGTTGTGACTCCTCTCCCCCTGTCCACCATAGAAACCTCAGGAAGTCAGCATCACTGCCATGGACTTTTACTTGGTGGAACATGGCAGTAATATCTGCCATCAGTCCTACTTTCTCCTGCCGGAATCTGTTGAGCACATCTCTAAGGCTGTTAGTTAAATCAGGCCCTTTAAGTAATTCTGCATTCAAAGCCTTTCCACTGAAGGATGCTCCACAATCAAAGACTACTCTTAACTTTTTCTTCTTTGGGTGATAGACCCCATGGTGGGGCAGGTACCACAACTGTCCGTCCGTTCTTATTACCTGCTCCTCTGGTACTGTTTCGGCATACCCTTTAGTAAGCATGTCATTCATCAAAGTGACGTATTCCTCTTTGAATGTCTCTTTGGCGGCTAGGTTCTGAATAGGCCTATGGCGTTCCCTATTCAGGCTAGCGAGGTAAATTTCCTTAGAAAATCTAACTTGTTTTCTTAACTGGATATGCACAAAGCCTGTGGAAAAGGGCAACGTGAATAGAGATGTTTGGGAGGCAGCATGCTACATGTTGGATCACTGTCATATACGAGCTACTGATGCCATAGGAGGCGCATGAACAGCATGGTACAGCATGAAAGCCACAACCCATGTCAAGCCTTTGGAGACAAGACCTCACGCACCTTAAGCAAGCCATGCTGCCTTCAAAAGGCTCCTTTGGCAGCGGTGGGATTTGAACCCACGCCTCCGAAGAGACTGGAGCCTAAATCCAGCGCCTTAGACCACTCGGCCACGCTACCCACAGGCAGTGTTTAAGGTAGGCTTGACAGGTCATGAAAGAGAGCTGCTCTCGCAGGTGGCCCTAATGTCCACACCATGCGCGCTTCCTTTACCAAACACGCTTAACCCACGCGGGCTGTGCACAGTAGATTGGCAGTCCATCGCCTAAAACTCTTGTTGACATAGCTCCCACATGTGAACTTACATCCCAGTCTGTGGAGAAGGAGCAGGCTAAGATGCAGGCTAAGATGCAGGTTCTTTGCCACTGTCGTCTGGACTGCGGACTGTTTTGACAGACCTGCAGTGACTTAAGAGCCTTACAGCAGATGTGGCCAACCAGCATGGAAATGCAGCCCACAGTTGCGAAACACGCAGCCACAGTGCGAAGTAAGAATGATTAATTTGTGGCTTTGTTACCAGGCAAGAGTGATGACCATAGTACATGTCTGTAGCTGTAATTATAGAATCTTTATTCTTTTGTGTTTTTATTTCAGTCACAATTAGGCACTTCCTAGATGCCCTCCTCCACAACCTCCTGGCTACGATCATGATGTCTGCCAGTGGAAGTGTTCCCATCAGCAGAGGATCAGGATGAAGACAGAGCTGGAATCGATGAGTCTACGGCTAGGGTCGCGTCCTGTGAGATATATCTTTTGCTTATATCTTTCATTTCTGGTGAATATTTAACTAATGTAGATATATTTATTTTACTTTATTTTGCAGTGTAATTAAGTTTATATTAATATGTATATATGAGCAGACTTGTGTGTGTATGTGTTTCTTCACTATTATTGCCTTTGGTTTTCACTGCTCTATTGATGTGTTTAAATGCAAATAAAAAAAAAAGTAAACACTAATTGCTTTGCATAGTGTGTCTCTGTTTGCAGGATTCATTATTTACTCTATTATATTGCCAACATTTAATTGGTATGTTAATTTAAGAGTCCCCTCGCTCATATGCATTCAACCATGGAATTCATTATATTAGCGTAAAACCTTATTTAAATTTCTCATTTATATTGCAGATACAACATAATAGTTTTATACTTTTTTATATTTCTACTTTTTTTCTACTCTTTTATTTTTACTAATGTTTTATTTCACTTATTGACATTTTGTAAAAATTAAGAAGAAATGACAGTGTAAAACTGTTGTGATATTTGTAATAGGTCAATGTTGACATAGTGGTCAGAGATTTATTCTGTGTTGCACATTTGATGAATAAACATTTGAACTCTATATATGCATGTCAACATTAATCAATTAATAACAATACATTGGCCATCAAACACAGAAAACATTTGAAACCACACTGCAATACTAATGCATTGTTATTATTTCAGAATTGTGTTTTACAGATCGGTCTTTGTGATTATAATGCACAAATTTGGGTGAAACAATGTTTGAGTCGCACTGAGTGGGATTCGAACCCCGGTCCAGACAAATATTAAATTATAATGTGAAAAAATCTGATGGGCTGTGACATCATTTCAGCACCTGGTACAGCAGCAGAAAAGCTTCAGCTTGATTGGCTGGCAGGCACTACATGCCAGCTATACACGACTGGCCACTGAGGGAGGTGTGAAAGAGATCTTGCAAAGAGGATGCTAAATGACGCACATGCAACAAGGGTGGGATTCAAACCCACGTGGGCAGAGCACACTGGATTAGCAGTCCATCGCCTTAACCTCTCAGCCACCTTGTCTAGAGCTGCCCCCTCCCAACACAAAATATGAAAAGATTATGAAACAGTCATCGAACTAGATGTCTGCTTCTCTAATTAATTGTATGCGTGTCTTGAGGCATGCACCGTGCTGTCATATAAATTGAAGGGTGCAGGTGCGGCGAGGCGGGCCAAAGTTCACAGAGAACGGGACAATTCCATAGTCGAGCAGACCCAATCCAATCCTTGGGCTATTGGATTCCGCTACCTACTGAGTGCCCAGATTAGCGAGGTAACTTTCTTTGCAAAAGGCATCTTTTTGACCGTGCATGCTTCCGTTACCAAATGCGTTTAAGCAAGATCTTTCCAAGAACAACGGATCCAAACCCACGTGGGCTGTACACTGTGGATTAACAGTCCATCGCCTTAACCTCTTGTCAACCTAGGTCACCCGTATAACCTTACATCCCCGTTACCTCCCAGAACACACTGGATTTGCAGTGCATCGCCTTAACCTCTCGGCCACCTCCAGCATTCAACATTGATTATGCAGGGAAGTTTATTTTTTCTTTTCCTGAGCAAACTGGATGGCTGCTTCTCTTGTTCATTGTATGCAGGTCTTGAGGCATGCAGTGTCCTGTCATAGAAATTGAAGGGAGCAGATGCGGAGAGATGGCCCAAAGTTCACATTGAATGGGACAGAGAAAGGCACACAGTTCACTGAGAACGGGACAATTCCTCGGCCACGCTACCCCGAGGGCTCGTGAGGGCTTACATGTTCGTGGTAAGAAGGTGTCTGAGTCATTCCGCCGGGCAACAAGGAAGCCTGGCATGGGCACGACAAAAGGGGCTGTTGAGAGACTAACGTGCCTTCCGCTCAACCAGCTCTACAGGAGACACCTAACCATTTCCAGCTGAAGAAAGAGCTCACGAAAGATTGGCCGTGATTGGCCTAGGCTTGAGACCCCGTGGTCAACCGTCACATCTGTAGTGTTTGTGGAAGGAGCTCTTCTGCTTTTGACCAAAAAAGAAAAGCCTTCAAGCAGCAGCAGGATTCAAACCCACACCCCCAAAGAGACTAGAGCCTTAATCCAGCACCTTAGACCGCTCAGCCACACTACAGTGACTTAAGCGCCTTACGGCAGATGTGGCCAACAAGCATGGAAATGCAGCCCACAGTTGCGAAACACGCAGCCACAGTGCGAGCTTTTCACGTTTCTCAATCCACTCTAGTACCGCGGCTAACCGATTATCAGTGGTAGTGCTAAACCATTACGGATGCGATATATTTTTGGCCACTGACGCCCCGTGGCGCTGTTCCGAGGTTTTGCGCCGCCGGGAAATTAGAAATCGCCATTTTACTTACGTCCGAGTAGGAGAGAGGGTGTATGCTGCTGAACTACTTTGTTGGTTATTATCATTATTGTAATTATATTCAACGCTTCTTAGCTCAGCGATCAAAGGTAAGTCACTTTATATCACATCAGCATGTGTTTTATCTCCATTAATGCTGAAATCAGATTAGTTTCTTTGCCAACACGCCAGCATGAGAGACTTTTACTGAACTTTACCCTACCAGCTTTTCTCTCTAAGGCATGTTTGGGTGATTTAAACGCTAAACTATGAATGAACATGACTGTAATTTTAGTTTTGTGTAATGCTTTTTGTGTTAAATATAGATGAGCGTTTTTCCGTTATCATGCACGCAATGCTCCTCCTGTGAGAGAGTGTTTGTTTGCTCTCTAACATGTCGCTGGTTATTTACAAGCTGAACTGTGAATGAACATGACCATTATTTTAATTTATTTGTAATGTTTATCAGTATACATTATTACACTATTCTAAAATTACATTAGTTTCAGCCCTGTTGGAGTGTTTGTTCTGTAACACACAGTTGGATGATTTAAAAGCTAAACTATGAATGACCATGACTTTTGTTTGTTTGTTTACTGACTGTTTTTATGTGTAATGCCTTTTGAATGTCAGAAAACAGTGTAGAAAATAGACATATTAACATCGATTAAATACTGCTTTTTCTGTCTTACAGGTCATCATGCACAAAAAAAAGTTGTGTTTTTCCCAGGAACAGTTAAGGTTGTGTTCCACTGGGAGATCTCCTTCAGGAGCCAACTGAGGAAGCCAGGCTTATCAAAAATAACCCGTCTCTGCAGGACAAGTCGGCACCAGTGAAGGAGGAGCTTGTCGGCCAAAATGCTCTGATTGTGGTCCGTCAGAGAGGAGGCGACATCTCAGACAGGAGCGAAGTTCTACATCCTGCAGTTTGGCAAATACAAAGGGACGTTCTTCCCCTTGTCCCAGGGACACGGATATACAAACTGCAGCAGTACCTGCGGAATCGGCCGTCCGCCCGTGCTTGCCTCAAGTGCCACATCTGAGCCCATGGGTCAGTTGTTTATTTTTTGCATTTGCTTTTTTGAAGGAAATGTTTGCCATTGTGTCAGTTTAAAAAAAAATAAAAATTTTGAAATTACATTTAATATTTATAAAATCCCTCACCTCTTATACAGATAACTGCTAATAGAGGAATGGTACTCTGTTCAGGAGACAGCAGCATCATAGATAGCTCTCCAGCATGTAGGACACTTTTGAGGAATGTGGCAAAGATGGTAAGGGTGTATTGCACTTGACTGGAATAATGAGAGCATTATGTTGTGTTGAACCTGTTCTAGTTCATCTTCAGAGACCACTTCCCATACTGTCCCACGCACAGCTGAGGCATCACATGGTAAGATTGTAGTTGTGCACTTATCTGTATCATGAATGTAGTTGTTTTTCTGTGTTTAATGTATTTTCTTATTAAGACTTTAAAGCGGGTTATTATTTGTCTGTGTATTTCCAGAGCCATTCTCCCCTTGATTCTTCTGTGTGCAGCCCACCGCCTCTGCAACAGACAGGTCAAAGTAAGAATGATTCATTTGTGGCTTTGTTACCAGGCAAGAGTGATGACCATAGTACATGTCTGTAGCTGTAATTATAAAATCTTTATTCTTTTGTGTTTTAATTTCAGTCACAAGTAGGCACTTCCTAGATGCCCTCCTCCACAACCTCCTGGCTACGATCATGATGTCTGCCAGTGGAAGTGTTCCCATCAGCAGAGGATCTGGATGAAGACAGAGCTGGAATCGATGAGTCTACGGCTAGGGTCGTGTCCTGTGAGATATATCTTTTGCTTATATCTTTCATTTCTGGTGAATATTTAACTAATGTAGATATATATTTTTTACTTTATTTTGCAGTGTAATTAAGTTTATATTAATATGTACATATGAGCAGACATGTGTGTGTGTGTGTGTGTGTGTGTGTGTGTGTTTCTTCACTATTATTGCTTTTGGTTTTCACTGCTCTATTGATGTGTTTAAATGCAAATAAAAAATAAAGGGTAAACACTAATTGCTTGACATAGTGTGTCTCTGTTTGCAGGATTCATTATTTACTCTATTATATTGCCAACATTTAACTGGTATGTTAATTTAAGAGTCCCATCTCTCAATAAACCATATGCATTCAACCGTGGAATTCATTATATTAGCATAAAACTTTATTTAAATTTCTCATTTATATTGCAGATACAACATAATAGTTTTATACTTTTTTTTTTTAATATTTCTACTTTTTTTCTACTCTTTTATTTTTACTAATGTTTTATTTCACTTATTGACATTTTGTAAAAATTAAGAAGTAATGACAGTAAATCTGTGATATTTGTAATAGGTCAATGTTGACACAGTGGTCAGAGATTTATTCTGTGTTGCACATTTGATGAATAAATATTTGAACTCTATATATTCATGTCAACATTAATCAATTAATAACAATACATTGGCCATCAAACACAGAAAACATTTGAAACCACACTGCAATACTAATGCATTATTATTATTTCAGACTTGTGTGGTACAGATCTGTCTTTGTGATTATAATGCACAAATCTGGGTGAAACAATGTTTGAGTCGCACTGAGTGGGATTTGAACCCCGGTCCAGACAAATATTAAAATATAATGTGAAAAAATCTGATGGGCTGTGACATCATATCAGCACCTGGTACAGCAGCAGAAAAGCTTCAGTTTGATTGGCTGGCACTACGTGCCAGCTATACACGACTGGCCACTGTGGGAGGTGTGAAAGAGACTGCAACAAACCCAGATGCTCTTGCAAAGAGGAGGCTAAACGACACACACAAGAGAGAGAGCTCGTGAAAGATTGGCCTAAGATTGGCCTAGGCTTAAGACCCCGTGGTCATCTGTCACATCTGTAGTGTTTGCGGAAGGAGCTCTTCTGCTTTTGACCAAAAAAGAAAAGCCTTCTGGCAGTGGTGGGATTTGAACCCATGCCCCCGAAGAGACTGGAGCCTTAATCCATGCACGCTTCCTTTAGATTAGATTAGATCAGATTAGATTCAACTTTATTGTCATTGTTCAAAGTACATGTATTAAGCCAATGAAATGCAGTAAGCATCTAACCAGAAGTGCATAAGTGGCATATTTACAATAAATTACAAATAAGGATATACAGCTATGATGGTGATATGTACAAGGAAATGGATGACTTATGTACAGAAGGTGCAGTGGGTATTATAAATAAAGATAAATATGATCTATATATGTGTGTACAGTGGTGAAGACATGTTGAGAATATGATAGAATGGGAACAGGAATATAAAAATGAGTAAATACAATGAATATATATATATATACACACACATATGCATGTATGTAGGTACAGTGGTGCAAAAGATTGCATTATAATTTATGTAGTGTCAGATGCAAGATGAATGAACAGTGAAGTAAGTAACTGAAAACAGATATTACAGTGTGATCAGCTGTTCAGTGTGGAAACAGCCACTGGGAAGAAGCTATTTCTCAGTCTGTTTGTGCGGGCGCTAAGGCACCGGTAGCGCCTTCCATATGGGAGGAGGGTAAATAGTCCGTGATTCGGGTGAGAGGCGTCTTTGATGATGCCGTTCGCCCTCTGCAGGCAGCGTTTATTGTAAATGCTCTCTATGGTGGGTAGCTGAGAGTCAGTGATGCTTTGGGCGGTTTTCACCACCCGTTGAAGGGCTTTTCGGTCCGTTGCGGTGCAGTTGCCATACCAGACTGAGATGCAATTGGTGATGATGCTCTCAATGGTACAGCGGTAAAAGTTCACAAGTATCTTGGAGCAGAGGTGGGCCTTTTTCAGTCTCCTCAGAAAATAAAGGCGTTGTTGTGCCTTTTTAACCAGAAACGAGGAGTTCAGGGACCAGGTGAGGTCCTCGGAGATGTGGACCCCAAGGAACTTAAAGCTGGGTACACGCTCAACAGTAGCTCTGTTAATGTGAATGGGAGTGTGAGTGTGTTTCCCAGCACGTCTGAAGTCCACGATGACCTCCTTTGTTTTTTTGGTGTTGAGTACCAGGTTGTTGTCCCCTCACCAAGCCACAAGGTGCTGGATCTCCTCCCTGTAAGCCGTCTCATCGTTACCTCTGATCAGGCCTATCACCGTGGTGTCATCTGCAAACTTGATAATGCTGCTAGAGGCATGTACAGGTATGCAGTCATGGGTGAAAAGGGAGTATAGAAGAGGGGACAATACGCCTCCCTGGGGAACTCCAGTGCTGAGGATGAGACTGGAGGAGGTGAGGTTGTCCAGTCTGACAGACTGTGGTCTGTCTGAGAGAAAATCCAGAGTCCAGTTGCAGAGAGAAGTACTAATTCCAAGCTGTTTAAGCTTTAGAATTAGTTTGGACGGGCTGACTGTGTTAAATGCTGAACTAAAGTCTATGAACAGCATCCTGGTGTAAGTGTTGGGTTTGTCCAGGTGAGTAAGAGCAGAATGGAGCGCTATGGAAATGGCATCCTCTGTTGACCTGTTGCGGCGATAAGCAAACTGGTATGGATCCAGGGTGGGAGATAGACAGGCTTGGAGGTGGGTGAGGACCAGCCTTTCGAAGCACTTTGCTATGACAGGGGTGAGTGCGACGGGACGAAAGTCACTGGGTGTCGTTGCAGCGGAGTGCTTGGGCACAGGCACGATGGTAGCTGACTTAAAGCAGGTGGGGACAACTGCCTGAGCTAAGGACAGGTTAAAGATGTCTGTGAAGACTCCAGTCAGTTGCTCTGCA